AGGGCTCGAACTCATGTCCTCTGCATTGGCAGGCGGATTCTTAACCACTGCGCCACCAGGGAAGCTCTCCGTGTTCTTTTATAAACTAGTTATTGTATTCTAAAAGTTTACATGAAGGTGTTAAAGCTGAGGCTTAGAGAGAGGATTTTTGTATAAGAGAGTGTGGATCTGTCAGTAATGTCCATATAAGAAGCCATTCCGCAAATATAATTATAAATTGTAAAAAAAAATAACTGATAGAAATCTATGCTATGAAGAAGTCATCGGAGAAGAAACATTTGATTAAGCTGACTTACTTCTGTTGTTCCTCTGTGACAATTATTACTTTTGCTCTGTTATATTCTGTAAATCTCTAGCTATATTGTTTCCGTAATCATTATCGCCGTTTCTGTGAAGTATGAAACCAAATAATCAATTTTGCAAAACTAAATTTTACAAAAGACCAGCCATAAAAGATAACTTACCTCTTTTAATTTAATGAGTCATCACATCCAAAATTATCTGTTTTGTCCACCATGGACAAATGGCCCAATGAAAAACTGACACCCTTATCCAGCTCTGTGGCAGCTTCAGAGAGATTATAAGTCCTGAGTCAATTTCATAATATTGGCTTTGTGATAGTGGCAGTACCTATGTTTTTTTTAAGTTTTTACCTGTTTTTCCTGTCTCATTGCTGGCTCAAGTAAAGTTTCATGATTCAGCCTTGCCCCGGATGCGGAGGCCAGAGCAGGAAATGCTGCTGCCCTTCCAAGTTTCTTCCCTGCTCCAGATGTTCTGGCTGAGCTCTCCATGGTCCTGGATTTGGGGCTGTGCCTGACATTAAAGAGAACTTTCAGATTTGTGATGTTTTGGGAGATACTTTGAAAGATCTTCTTCCTGCTAGGAGTACCACATATACTCTTTCTGACTAATAATAATCATTGCAACTTTCAAGTCTTCCATAGAAGCTTTCGCCATCTTCCTGAGTAACCCGTTCCCTTAACTACTGTTTGGATGTTCAGTTTTCTGTGTAAACAGAATTGCGTGTCTCAACCATTGAATGCCACTTTTTCTACTTTAGGGACCAAAAAAAATGGCCCCTTATTATTCTTACTACAGGCAATCATGTATTTATAAACATTTAACCTTCCATTAATGAGACATGTTGTATTTTTTATTTGAACGAGTTATTGAGTATACCTGTGGTGTAAAACAGATAGACCATAGGCATAAAGAGGACCATAAGGAAAAATCAATATCTCTGCAATCAAGTAGTTTTATTTAACTGAAGTACACAATGTGGTATATCAGAACCAGTGGATAGAAATCATATTGGTGAGAACAGAGTGTAAATTAGAAATGCACCTTAAAGCATAGGACAGTCGGTGTGACCTGAGCTTAGGTTTTCATTTAACACATCTTATACTGTATTGCTGTGTGCCAGGCACCGCTGTAAATATTTTACAAAAATTACCTCAATATCAACAAGAACCTTATGAAGCAGATAGTATTATCATCCCATTTCACAGGTGAGAAAAACTGAGGCAAAAGAAGTTAAGTAAATTGCTCAGGTTTACATGATTCATAAGTTACAGAGCCAGGATTTAAATACAGGCAGTCTGGCTCTGCAATCCACACACTTACCCTCTGCCTTCCGCTAGTGTGGAGATATGCTGAGAGAGGCAGCAGACAGAACTTAAAGAAAGTGAGAATCGTGAGCTGAGAGAACATGGAAGGAGTTTCAGAAATCAGCAGTTTAGGGTTGTCACCAAGCAGAAGTCAGGCCTTTGATTTAATTTCTACTGTCACTGTATGGGAAATAAAATTTACTAAAAAATGAAGGTCACAAGTGGCAGTTTGAGAGGACAATGAGGAAAACAAATAAGTATTCAGAATTATAAAACTGTAACCAGAGTAAAAAAACAAAAAAAAAAAGTGGTAGGAAAGAGGCTGCTGGTTAAAGAAAATTACGAAGAATTGTGGAGGAGTAAGGTAATAATCAGATGTGGTACTAGGATCAAAACAGTTGAGCTTTTGCCCCCAGGGAAGTTTTACAATTACCGTAATAATAGTTAATGCTTATATAACGTTTACAACATGGCAGACATTTAGCACTTTACATATATTAGCTCAATTACTCCTCTGAGCAATATTGTGATGTATGTACTAATATAATGTCTATTTCCCAATGAGGAAACTGAGGCCTAAAGAAGTTGAGACACCTATCCAAGGTAGCCCAGCTAGTAACTGTGTGATGATGTGAATACTTACAGTCTGGCTACAGAGCCCCTACTCCTAACTCCTGTGCTTCCAAGAAAGTTTAAGGAAGGGTTGACTATATTTTAAGCATGCTTAAGTCTTTCCAACTTATTAAAATTCTTAGTTGTAAAACTCTGAAGTAGACTCTACCACATTTAGAGCTTACAAACTATCTTAACTGTTATCACATTACTGACCAGAGATGTATTAATACACCTTTTGTTACCCAAACGTTATTGACCAGAGATGTATCAATATCACTTACATAACAAATTGCTGGCCACAGGCATTAGTTTCCACAAAAATCCCCTGGTTAATAATAAGTTAAAATTTAGAATTGTCCAAGGGGTTTACTTCTTTGTGGTCTACAATATACTAACATGAAATTATCATATGAGTCATTGCAGTGGTCCCAGGAGATTTGCCAAATACTCCTTGTTTGTCATTCTCATGATCTAAGATGATAAAATTGAGGCTCAACTTAGTGACTTAGAATTATAAGTGGCCTACAGTGGCTAAAGTGGGTCTCATAACTCCTTCATTGGGACTCTTTCCGCAAAATATACAACTTGCCAAAGGAACTTAAAATAGATGGAAAGATTTAAAAACTCACTTTATATTTACAAGCAGTGACTGCGAAATCTTCATTCTTAGTAAACTCTTTTTTGATTGCTTGTCAGCTATGCTTTAAAGCTATAACTATAGAATGTAAAAATTGTTTCAAAGTGTTGAACGGAAACATACGTAAAATAATATTATTTTAACCAAGGTATTTCTTTAGGATAAGTTAATTCTAGCAACATCAATGGCAAAAAGAGGGCAGAATCCAACTTTATAATCCTTATATGAGGAAATTCTATACATTAGATTGTTATAATTTTGGTTGGGTGCTGGGCCCCTTTTGAAAATCTGAAAATCATTTACCATCACCCCCAAAATATACACATATATACATAATTTTGCCTATGATTTTCAGATATGTGTGTGTGTGTGTGTGTCTTTGGAAATGGTTGTTGATTTTGTTGCTGGTGGTGGTAATTATTAGAGAAGATGATCCTGTCGTCATCAAAGAGAGTTGAAATTTTGATTTGTGGAGGGTTTTCTGTTATTCAGAGTCCAAGTGAAAGAACATTAAAGCAGTGGGAAGTTTGGACCCAAGGAGTATTTACTGTTTAATCGTATTTTAGGTGGCAGAGATCAGGCCATAACATTCACTCACATATAGTCAATCCATTCTTTCTCTAGTATTTAGAAATGCAACCATAAGGTTTTGGTTTAGAACAGAATGTATAAATGCAAATTTATTTTAGGTTTTAATGTAGTCCTTAATTCAATTTGAGAATTACTTGTAACTAGGCTCTGTTTCACAAAAGCAGGCAAAAGATTAATCCACAATCTGTCCTTGTTTTAAGGACTTTAGCTTCATCTATTGTATCAGCATCTCCACAACCTTTATAATCCTTTAACCGTATTTTATTGCTGTTGCCCTCAAAACCAGTTACTACTTATTACAGACACAGTGCTATCATTCGGAAGGTCTTCTGTACTGTGGTGTCAGCATAATGATGTGATGTGGAAGTCATGGAAACCCATTGTTATTAAGATTATGGCTAGGACGATTACTCCAGTAGGGTGACACAGTTGTGGGTTAGAGATTTTTTTAAAGAGGGGAGAGGTAGAGAAGAGAAAAACGATAAGGAGGTAGTATGGGAACACATAAAGTAAGTGGTATTTTAGAAAAGTCAGGTGTCAGAGCGCAATGTTTAGGCAAGGCACCCCAAAGCCTTAGTGTCCACATATTCCCCTTCTTTGAGGAGATAGAAGAAGTCATCTCCCCTCTGCCTCACCCCTGGAGCTCATTGGGTTGATCCCTGTGATCTTGGGCTTTGCCTACCCTTAGGATTAGTTTTTTTTCCCTTAGATTATTGATAAGCCTATGCAGAGATATCAATTTCAGAATAACCCACTAATCCTCTACTTGCTTCAGTTGAATAGAGAAATTCCTAGTGTGAATATTAGTAATATTGAATAGATAACAAATGAATCCATTTGTGACCACTAAGTGACATGTGCAAGTAAAGTTATATATAACATCCATGTAAAACTTCTGGCAAAATTGGCCTCCCAAATTATTACCCAATTGCAAAATGAGTCCCTGCTCCATTATCGACCAAGTGGCATGTTCTGTTTGGCTCGCATGATTTTTAAAAACGCCAGTTAGTTAACATAAAATTAACACATAACATAAAATTGGAAGTGCTATGTAAAAATTCAGATTTTGTTTTCTAGAAATAGCAACAGCAGAAATCTGGCAACACTAGGCATGCCTTCCCCCAAAGCAGCACACGCAAAGCTGAAACGGTGTGCGCTTTCCTTTGCCTGGGCTTTCAGCCTCCACTTCTCCACAGGTTGCCTCAGGCCTCTTTACTCATTGACATTCCCTGCCTTCACCCTGCAAGCCCTTGAGTTTGCAGCCCCTGCTCTAGAGCTCCATCATAGTCACTTACTGGACCAAAAAGAAAAGAAAAAAAAAAAAAAAAAGTAAGTTCAGCCCACCTTCTGGAGTAGTATTCGATTACAAGAACACAAAAAGAGCAAAGCATTGAACTTGAACCACTGCACTCTACAAGTGGTAGAGAAAACATGTCAAATGACATAGTTCTTTTGGCACAACTGACTTAAATGGTGTTAGATTACTTATATTATATAGAGGGAGGGCTATGAATCATTGTTTTATCCTAAGATGTTGACCTGGGTCCTGGTTATACTTATACTTTATCAGATTGTAAGGCATCTCTTACTTTTATTGACAATTTTCAACAAGCCACACTGAGCATTTAAAGAAGTGAATGGAGGCCAGCGAAAATTGTGGGAAATAAATGGCATAACATGTCTTTTCTTTATAAATTAGTGATGGTTCTGCTTATTACCAACATCAAGACAAAAGTTTGTCACCTGTGACTGCTTTGACTCTGAAAACGATAGCATTAATTTGTCTAGTTCTGAGAAATACATTAGTTAGCTAATGTAGAATATTTTATTAATAGAGTGAACATGAAACCAGTAGGGGTATTAGCCTAGCAAGTATTTGACCATAGCGTTATGGCATTACTTAAATCACACAGATATGCAATAAGATACCTGAAATGTCTGCAGTGAAAACAGTGCTTCCACTATGAACAATATCAGATGTGGTCTAAGGTAATAGGGAATGTTATTGCTCATATTAAGAGATTGAAGCCACACTGTTGGACTCATTTTAATCTATTCCTCTGGTCTTGCTTCCTTCCTATTTCTCTTTCTTGATATTTTGTAATGGGAAACCAGAATGCTAGATTCAAAGATTTTTAAATGCCTTCAAAGTCCAATAAAATGGATACTTACAAATGATGTTAATAATACCTTGATACTATAAATATTGTCCAATTATTTATCATCACAGTCTGATTTTGAATTTATTTTTCATCAGACACAAAACGGAGCAGTTCAGAGTAGGTGCACTTCTCCTGTCAGATGCCCACATACAACTTCAGTTGTGCTAGATTCTGCCCTCAGTAATGTGAGCAAACTTCAAACAGAAATGTACATGAATAGTTAAAGGAAAATACTGGATCCCACCTGTTGCCTCTTATGTGAAGTAATATGTCTATAATGTTTATAAATTTTAATAACCCATACAGGGCTTTATCTTTCAACATTAAATTTATGTTATCTTAAATTTTAACTTTTCTGGGTGATATATTTTATTCTCTAGTATCTTAGAGAGTCTATCCATCTACGAATGTATGTTCATTAATAAAGAATTAAAGTATTCTCTTATCAATCAATTACCAGTGCATTTATATAGTTACATTGAAATCTTCATTTCCAATAAGATGTTTTCTTTATGTGACTGAAGGTCATGATTCTTATTGAGGGCTGGAAGCACATCAACATTTTATTTGTTAATTCTGTGAACTGTGTGTTTACCCTTTGTTTCTCAAGATGGTAACTGAAATAAGTTTTTTCACATGTGTCCTTCTGATGCTTTACAATTCCATAGTGATAACCGTTAAATGAACAAAACCATTAGCTTAAGAATAGATATATAAATACAATGCCAATCTTTTAAATTGCTCATAGCTGATAACATCAAGCATCACCTGTAAACCTTATGTCTTAGAAACAATTAATATATCTCAGTGCATAGGTGATTGGAGGAAGAAACTTAACAAGCAAACTATTTTTACTCATTGCACTTGAGTTTATGGCATATAAGCCTAGAAGTAGAACTTATGGTTTTAGAGGTCATTGTCTGGAACTCCTTTTACTATGTCCCTGGAATTTTGAAGATGATTTTGGTAGATTTTTGCTGGGGGAAAAAAGAAGTAAAAAGAAAAGCAGTTTATGCTTGATGACAGAGTTACATGTTCTAAACAACACTTTTCCACTCCTTTGATTCCAGTTTACAAGCATTGAGAAAGGAGAAGTCCCGGGATGCTGCTCGCTCCCGCCGGGGGAAAGAAAACTTTGAGTTCTATGAATTGGCCAAGTTGTTGCCTCTTCCTGCAGCCATCACTAGCCAGCTTGACAAGGCCTCCATCATTCGACTTACAATTAGCTATCTGAAAATGAGAGACTTTGCTAACCAGGGGGACCCTCCATGGAACTTGCGAATGGAAGGCCCTCCACCTAACACATCAGTAAAAGGTAAGGTTTCAGCCACTGTTCATCCTGGAATATGGTGGTCTGTAGGTGTCTCTAAGATGAAATGTTTACCATCATCCTTTCTTCTTTTCCTGCATATCAAATCCTTTAAAGGGATACAAATGTGGAAATCTGAACTCTGCATGAGAAAGACACCGTGTGAAGGTGAAATAAACCTCTTCTATTTCTATTTTATTTTCAAAAAGTCTGTCAGCCTAAATATTCTGTCACTATAGATAAGGTTTCAGGGAAATGAGAATGAAATGACTTAACGTTAATATGCTTCTTGGGTTTAATTTATGTTATGCTAATACATGAAAATTATTATTAAGGGGTGGAGTATGAGAATATTTGTTAAAGGGTAGGGCTGATATTTTCTGGTTTTAGTTACGAAAGAGAGGATGGGAGCAAAGTACAACTATAGCAGGCATTTTGAGTAATGATTTCATTGACCAACAAAATGATCAATGTATGTATTAATGTTTCAACTCTATACATATTGCATAAAATTTATAAATATAAACATGTATTTGTGCCCCCAATCATTGGTGTCGTTTCCCTTAAAACTTATTACTTAGAAATTTTAGGCCTTCTTCACTCTGATACTTAAGAGGGTTATTTTCTTGTTTGTTCTTGAAACGCCTAATAATTGATGAGATTTTAAACATATGAATATGCATGCATATGTTTATTGATGTACATGTGGTGTTGGCCATTGATTTTCTGTCCTGAAAATGTATCATTCAAGGCATGGGACGGGATCTGCTGGGTTTTGTGCTTTAACCTTGTATCTAGGCCCTTGATGAGCATGGAATAAAATTGGACATTTGGTGGAATTGTAGGCAGCCTCCTCTGGGGGAGGAATTAGATTCTTTAGTTATGTGATTACACCTTGACAATGACTTATGAAGTCCCTGTACTCTTGGCTGTTGTAGGGAAGGGTACTGGGGGGAGCTATAACCTATTATAGGATTCAAATTAAAACGAAGGGTCAAAAGCAGTGACTATTGGCAACTCTGTGCTAAGAGGTATAATCATATGTATGTATGTACCTGTGTGAATCTGTTTGTATCTTTGCTCTTGTTTCTTAGAGATTGTGTTTCTTAGGCTTATTAGAGAAAGAAAATTAGAATTCAAATTGTAACAGGTTATTTTTCTCTAGAGCAGGGGTTGGGAAACATTTTATGTAAAGACCATATAGTAAATATTTTAGTTTTGGGGGAGTACTCAACTCTGCCACTGTAGCATGAAAGCAACCATAGATAGCATGTAAACAACAGGGTATGGCTGTGTTCTAATAAAACTGTACTTACAGGGCAGGCAGCTGCCACCAAATTTGGCCCACAAGCCAGAGTTCACAGACTCCTGCTCTAAGTATAAGAATGACATTTGAAGGTTGAGAAGAACGGACAACAGAGATAGCTCTCAAGGGCAGGGTGTAAGTATAAGGTAGCACAGTACAAATAAACCAGGGCACATTCATGCTGTTCTTTTACAGCCCTTCTGCCCTTAAGAATGTTGATGTCAACTCGATAATACACCAGTCCATGTTGCAGATGCTAAAGTAGTGGTGAATTTTCCCAAGCTAAAGACGTGAATATAATCCTAGTAAATACTTAAGAGTTTATTCAGTAGGTTGTCTTTGCGTTCATTCCACATCATGTAAGATGAATGGATAAATGCAACAGGTTAGAAATCACACAACATGCAAAATATATTCTTAATCTTATTATTCCATTTGAAATACATTGAGGGACTAGACTTACATTAACTTTTTTAACATAATTATCTTTTATTTCCATCTTTTCTTTAAGAGAGTTGGCAGTTTATAGGCTTCCTTGGTAGTGGCGGCTGCCAAAGTAGAACAACCTAATGGTTCCATGATCTGTCCGTTCTTCTACGATGTGATAATTCTGCTTGCTTTTAGAATCATGGCCTTTTAGAGGTGCGCAATTATAGATACTGTAGAACTAAGCCCTCGTTTTACAGGTGAGGGAAATGATGTAGAAAGGGTTTATGGTTAAGTGTTAGAAGATCTAAAACTAGAATCCCGTGGTTCTGCTTTTCTGTCTAGGGTTCTTTCTATCAGATATCATTTCTAGCAATGATATTTGATTTCTGTCACTATTATCAAACATTCCAGGTGAGAATGCTCTCAGCTTTGGACTATGGCTGATAATTCATTTTTATTTTGTGACCTTCAGTCAACTCAACTCTGTAACTACTAATGATGAAGATGGATAAAAACAAGATAAAATATGATCTCTGCCCATAAGGGTGTTTCAGTCTTTGGAGGAACATGGTGGTGTCAGTGAGAAAAACGTGGAGGTTGGGATGGATGTTTTGAAGCCTGGAAAGAGATGCCAGATTTTATTACTTAAAAAATTTTATCCAGACTATGGTAGAGCATCCAATTTGGCACATGCGTATTCTCTCTATTAGGAAACTGATGATAGTCTAGAACTGAAGACCCTACTGTACTCAAGTATAGAGACTCTATACTGTTGACCTTGGCTCTCAAGTGTTGCTAGGAATGCGATGGGCACTTTCTGTAAGCTGCTTCTGCTGTACGATATATGTATTTTCTATTGGTTTGCTCTAGTTCTATGATGCAAACCTGCTACTCATTCTGATCAAACATTCATGAAACAACATCAGAAGAAATTCATTTTAATTTATGAAGGTCTTCTGCGTTGTGCCCTTGAAGGAGTTCATATGGATAAACAAGCTTATGTAAATAGCCTGCAGCATCATGTGAAGCACAGTTCCTAATCCAACAATAAAACGATAGACAGTATGCTTCGTGCTTCTCCAAGCAGCCTCTTGAATAAACCTAAAGGCATTTGGAAATTTATATGAAAAGCACTTATACAATGTAGGCAACATTTCTTTTTAATGCGATGAGTTGTTCACGTTAATAATTAAATTTCAAAACTTAAATTTGTCCCAAACAACTATATAGAAATTTAATCATTTTAATTTACTGCTTCAGAAAGGTCCTTTATTCTGCCCTGTGTTCATTACATCTTTTCTTAAAGTCTATAAAGTTCGATGAGTTTGTTTTGTGATGCCAATTGTGTACAGATTATTACAAGTTATGCTTGCAGAAAGAACACTCAGGTGACAGTGTGTAATATGTCCTGAGTCAGTTACTTCATGGAAGTGATATGTTAAGCAATTGGAAGGTAACAGATAGTTTTTCCTATTATTTTAGAAATATCTCTATTGTTATAATACAGATCAAATCTACAATGAACGTTATGCATTTTTCAAAAAATGACCAGGCATTCTCAGCAGTGTTTTAGCTAAATAACCGATGATTGTAACCTTTAAAGAAATCTCATTGTGGTGACTGTTGGTAAATCACTTCTCCATTCATAGTAATCTCTATTTAGAGGCTATCTAGAAACCATTATATCTTTTATTAATCTTAAAAGCAATGGCTGCTGATTTGACATTTGCTAAAACTAGATAAATTTTCTGTCTTTCTAATATCAATCACAGACTTCAGTCAATTTTTGGAGTATATCTGCTGCAACTCTATTAATCCAGGAATATTTCCCACTGTAAGCATAAGTTTTATTTCACTTTAAACGCTGCAGCTTTTAAACAACAATTTGCCTATATGTGTGACAAGCCAGAATGCTACAATATGTAAAATACAAGACATTTTTAGCCTTTGGAAGGGAACAATTGAAAAATATGCAAGACAACTGGTGATTAAAATTGACTGAACACATTAGGGCAGAACTTTAGTATTTTCGTGGAATTTCCTTTCACTATTTCAGGCATCTATTGTGACTTAATGTAGATGTTTCTGAGAGGAGAGGAGACTTGCAGGTCTTTATTTCAGTAACTTATAATCTGTCTTTCGCCGAAGACCAGACTGTTACTTAAGCAATGATGTTTAATGGACTCATTTAAGTCAGTCATGTAGGGTAAATGAGGATAGGATATCCTTCAGAGTGACACTGAATTACTACTATAATGATTGTCTCCAAGATTCATATAGCATTTTATAAAATGGTTCTAGTTCCATAGACGGTAGAGATTCCAAGACACTCTGAGTGATAGGTCTTCTTGGTTTAAGCGGCTCCAAGGTCTTTTTATTCCTGTTCTGGTATTTTACTGTGTGCTGGCACACATTTACCTCTACCAGATGACGTTCATGTTTGGAGGCAAGTGTCATATTCCTTGTTATTAAAAAACATGTAAAATAAAAGTTCTTAGAATCAATGCATGGCATGTATACCAGCATGTGGTATTCTTCTTCTTTTTTAAACACCAGTAAATGATAGAGCCCAGGGTGAACCCTTAGGGTGTGAAAAAGAGCTTTCTATAAGGCTAGGAAAGTAGGAGAGAAGATGGAAACTTGGTGCTTGCTTGGTTCCTATTCTTAACTCCATTATCCTCAGTAGACTGAGAGCCTGACTCCCTGTTCTAGTCTCTAGTTTCATTTGCCTCAACCCAAAGTCAGTGGTGGCATGAAATGGAAATAAAACCATCTAAAAGCTGAGCTGACAATGTTCATTCCTGCCTATTTTGGTAGCAAGTGCCAAGTTTTACTAGTATGTGAAAATATGTGATATAATTGCCTTTTCTTAGATATGCTTCCAGGAAGGCTCTTTAATTACACGTTATTATCCTTTAATATCTTTCCGATGAAGTTAATCACTTCTGAAAGAAGTTCATTTAAGAACTAACCTTTTACTTTCTTTAGTTTTACATCATGATGGGATGAGCAATGTTGATGTCACCACACATCCCTAGGATCTCCATCTTTGACACTGGACAGGAAGCGCTTTCTGACAAATATGGGCTTGATGGTAGAGTAAGTCCCTGAGACTCTAATTCTGTTAAGTTTCACATGTTATCAGGAAAAGCTTTGCTGTTTGTGAAGGGGGAGACTCTAGTCTACCTGTAGCATGAAGAATGTAAAAAGCATTGCTGGGTTCTTGCCACATGCCGCTGTCGAAGAATTTGATTGGTCATCATTATTTTCAGTGCATCTGGCACTATTGAGCATCTAGAATTAGCCTCAACTCCAAACGCCCACTCAAGGAAAGCGTATTTATGAGAGTATGACTGTGAGCGTGTGAAAATCCAGGTGTCCTAGTTAGCTATGCTGCCAGGGCCACAAGCAATCACAATATCTTAGAAGTATG